AGTTTACAACAAACCACAAAAACCAACACAGGTATGGCTAAGCTCTCATGCAAGAAATGGGCCAAAAGAGGGACAAAGAAGCAAGTGGTGGTTGCTGGCCTCAAACACAAAGGGGCCCTTCAACAATATTGAAAAGGGGCCCGAAATATTGCACTTTACAGTTGATGGACAGACCCAAAACAGTATACAAGAATGCTCAAAATGCTATGCAAAATAAGGCCAAAAAGAGAGATATAACACAAAGTATATAAAGGATGCCTCAAACAATGAAAGACCCTTAATGAAACATGAAGAGGGGGTCAAAATAAGGCTTTTTTAAGTTTGGACCAGAGCCCAAAAACAGAAGCACAAAAGGCTAATAAATCATGCAAAAATATGGCCAAAAGAGAGATACAAAGGAAAGTGATAAATGAAAGCCTCAAACAGCAATGAGCCCTTCAACAATGTTGAAGAAGGGCTCAAAATAAGCCACTTTTCAGTTCATGACAGAGCTCAAAATAGTTTATACATAGGCCAAAAATACTACACAAGAAGATGGCATACAAGGGAGATAATGAAGCAAGTGCAACAAGGAGGCCTCAAACAGGTAAATACCCTTAAACAAACATGAAAAATAGCTCAAAATAAGCGTAGTTCCAGTTAGGGTCGGAGCCCAAAACAGCAAGCAAGAATGACTTAGAAAGCATACAAAGTAAGCTCAAAAAGAGGGGAAATGGTACTTACCCTTGAAGACCAAACTTTAGGCAACTCTTGGCTTGAGTTTGGTGGCTCTTTAGCTCTAGAAAACAACTTCAAGTGGCTACAATGGAGGTTGGAGGTATGGTGCTAGGTGGTGGTGTAGAGAAGGGTGTAGGACTTGAAAGGTTTTGAGCTTGGAATAGAGAGGGAGAGGGATATAATGCAAGAGGCTTAAAGGGAAATTTTGTAACCCTAAATATGCAGCTGGAGGGCCTGCTATATAGGCAAAAAGAGGGGGAAAAAGGAGGGAAAAAAATGGAGGGAAATGAATCAAGTTTCCCCCCAAAAATGCCCCCCCCGGATACAGAATCTGGGGGGAAAAGGAGGGTGTATCTACACTGTACTTGATGTAAGGATTCTGGCTGGCCAGTTATCTAGGGTTTAGGTGGCCGGCCGGCTACCTCCCATGGCCGGCCGGCCAAGGGTCAAAAGGTTCAAAGAGAATTAGTGGCCGGCCACCCCAAAAAGAGAGCCTCTGATGTGTGCACAACACAACCAAGTGGTTAAAAACTGGAGAAAATGAGCCAGAAGGGAGAACAACCCACTTTTCAAAGGGGTTCAAAAGGTTCAAAAGCAATTACTGGCTGGCCACCAAATATTGGTGGCCTCCCAGATGTGTACATCACAAATATGGGATTTAGGGTTCAAGAAAATGGCCCAAGGGTGGTCAACATTGGCTTTGAAGTGAGGAAAAACGGGCGACGGAGGGCGATGGAGGAATAAAACTGGTTGTCTGAACAATTGCTGGCCTCCCACCCTTCTACGGCCTTCTTACCAATGAAACAGAGGTCCCTGCCAAAAATGAACCCAAACCGATGCAGAATGAAGGTTCGGGGGCCAAAACGCGCAGCCCGAGGCCCCGAAAACTGACTGTTTAGGCACCGGGAGTGGTGTTCGAACACGAAGTTGGTCTCTCGGACAGAAGTGTCCCTCAAAAGGGAGCGAACAAGATGCATGCCGAAAATCGGAGCGAACGGAGGTGGTTAAGCGGTCCCGAACTGAGGCACACGGCCAACGGCTCTGAAAAATCGGAAACTGGACTCCAAACGGGCAAAATGGCCTACGACCACGAAACGTAGCCTACGGCCACTGAGAGATGGTCTACGAGACATCTCCCTCCCTTCGGAAAGAGCAAATAGAGAAAGCAGAGCCTGGTTCGCAAACCGAGGCAAAGCGTGAAAAGAGTCCGGAAGTCCGGAGGCAAGGCTCGCAGCCGAGACTTTGAAATTTCTGAATGAGCACGATATGCAACATCACCAAGCGCTCAATCGGTGACGTCTGAGTCTTAAGGTCGATCAAAAATAGGGTGTCTACACACGCGTTTTTCATTCTTCTATTCTATTTCACGCAGCAATTGATAGATCTAGGTTTTCTATCTCTTCATCACTCCTTTTTCTTATGGTGAAAGGTCACTAGGTCGAGCTTCGTAGGCTCCGATTCATGATCTGGTTCTCTCTATCTTGGCTCAAAGCTCTCAATCAGTCCGATTTGAAGATTAATTTTGTGAGTCCTCTGACTTTTTCATTTTGTTTATATACAAACTTAGATCTATGGTCTCAAATCTGTTTGATATATATATATATATATACTAATTTATGTCTATTGATCGCGATCGATTTTTATTCTATTGATCGATTTTTAGGCAAATCTCGATTGATTGATTTTTAATTTATTGATCGCGATCGAACACTCTTCTCTGGATTTGATCGATTGATTGCTTTCGTTCAGATCTATAAGTTTGAGTCCCTATGCGCATATTAACATCCTCAAATCGAATCTATTTCTGACTCGTTCGTGGTGATCTTTGCGTTTGTGCTTTGTATGCAATTCTAGGGTTAGTCTATTGAGGCTAATCTCTATTGCATTTGTGTACAGAGTAACAGAACCACCATCACAACCATACTGTGTCAATCTTTGCAGCAGCAATGTCTTTCTTCCTCACAATGGGTTTTGTGCACTGCAGACACCTGATTTCCACTCTGGTGAGTCTTCTTTGATTCCTTCTTTCCTTACCTTGCTTATGATCTGTCTGGCCCTGTCGTTTGTGCATTTGGGTTTTTCTGCTACTTTCCATAAATTTTAATGTCTTCAAAAGCCATGTATCTGTGTGTTTGTTTATATGTGCATCAAAATTTTATTGGATTTTATCTGATGGACCCGCAGAGTACTCAAAATTTGAGTTTATGTTCTGCAGCTCCAATAACAAATAGGAGGAAAACCTTGGAAGAGGTAGAAAGATAGGCTAAAATTTGAGTTTATGATAGGCAAAATTATTGACAAAATTACTGTTAAGATGATGGGTAGAAAGATTTACTTATCTTGTCTGCTGTAGTTATATAAATAAAATCAGATTATGGTTTGAGTTGGGACCAATTTAAAATTCAGTCTGTCTATTGGTTAATTTGGGTATTGACTTAAATTTGATTTTTTCCAGCAGTGACCTCTCCGGAAGTGACGTATAAGTGTTGGATACGAACACACTCCAAACACGTGTCGCACATGCTGGAGACATGCTGAGAACACACTGGGACACACTGAGGACCATTTAAAAAAAATAATTAAAAATGAACTTGTGTTTACTATAATAGTATACCAAAGGTTGATAAATTTCGTAAAATTAAATATTTGACTTAAAATAATTATTAAATATTTAAAAATATGACACATAATAAATATATAAAATCATATCTTTCGTACATGTCTCTAACGCGTCGTGTCCTAAATTTTTTGAAATTTGTGTGTCCTTATCTGTGTTGTGTCATGTGTCCGTGTTTGTGTTTCTTAGTAGGCATACATGCAGTAGAATTAAGAAGCATCGGTCAACAAAAGTGAGAGAATGCAGAACAAATATATGAGATATGTTTTTGATCTTAATGCATGACCTATTAATGAGAAAAACTTTCTACAAAAGAAATGAATATCCACTCTCAGTGTTAACAATGATATTGCTTTATTTAGTTATGTTTTCGATATTTGTTTTTACTTGGAATTTTCTAATGGCTATCATGGAAGTTCCTTTCTTTAAGGTAATTGATCATGTTTTTACTTGATCTCCTTTAAATGTCTGTATTGTTTTACGTAATGCTTCATGCCTTCAATAACATGTATCTGTAAATGCTATTTTTTTATTATCTTTTAGCTCCAAATCATAGAGGGTGGCTTTATTATTGTCTTTGTATTTCTCTTGTTGATAGTACTGAAAATTATTATAGCAAATCAGGTACCAGGGCTGTATCCAGTAGGTGGAACCGCATACTATGGCGATACTGCCCCCTTCAAGTGAGTTCGCACACAAAAATGATCTTTTCTGCAAGGTCTGATTTTCAAGTGAGATTGCAAAACTAAATGCACACAATTCAAGAAGATCAATGGCAGGAACGAATTGGATACGTATATCCATTGGATGGGACGACAACATAGAGTTCCTGAAAGTTCCTGGGGTTTTTTATTAGTTGCATAAAACATGGAGTTAAGTAGAATTAATGTCTTTTCGTATTTGCTGTCAGCAATTACTCAATTAAACTGTATATGACAGATTTGTATATGAGTGATTTTGTATAAAAAAATGTCCACGGAACTTCAAAAACAGGGATTCACCAATTGGTGTTCTCCCTTTATATACTAGTACTTAGTATAGATATAATGAGGTATTGTTTGTACCCTTTTTGGTCTGAGGAGTGCAAACAGGTATCAAGGAGTTATGAAATGGAATTGTCTGCCTTAAGTAATTTTGGTTATCTTCCCTGGCATTGACATATTATTTTGGTCTTGTAGCCATCCAAATTGTGAGACAAGGAAGTGGATAGTTTGGGGGGAAATAAGGGTTGGTATATTTGTGGAGCAAGATATTTCCGTTGAAACTGAATTGGCATGTGATTATAATGTTGAATGGCATGGTGGTGCTAAGGTTCGATGTCAGCGTTGGGCACCTAACTGTTCTAAATTTCTCGAGGCAAAGTCTCATACTTTTCTGGTGAGTTCAAAGTGATAACTTTTGAAGTCTATATTTGAAGATACATTAACATTTCATTTGACATTCATTCTCCTGATGGAACTTGAGTGATGAGAAAAAAAGGAAAAAAAAAAAACTGAAAATGAATTTATGCAAACTATTAAAAGGCAGCTGTTTATACTAAAGGCAGCTATTTTGTATATTCGTTTATTCACCTCATCTCGCAGTAAACTCATTGTCCTTTTTTTTTATAATGTTTTTCCATTTCTTTAACAGGTGCATAATCATGTGTTGGAAGACGGCGATGAAAGGTAATGGGTTATGCATTTATTACTCAAAATTTGTAGGCAGTTACAGACAGTTATATCATTTGAAAATACGAGAATTGAGATTTAGAAATTGTATTCAATGTCCCTCTGCCCTTTTCCTCAATAGTTATATTATTTTTAGTATTTGAGTCGACCAATCATCGAATGAACAAACTATAGAATTTGAAATACACGTAAAAAACTCGAACATACTAAACTCAGCAAAGGTTTTGTCACTGAGTTAAGTATAAGAACCTGATACACACATTTGTATGCTATGAGGATTATAATTCAGAAATGTTGAGAACGCTTTTGTACCAGAATTTAAGTATGCTAAATGATTGTCTATGAGTGTGGAAGATTTTGTTTTATACTTTTCTAGCTGGGAAAAAAAAAGTTTGTTTCATGTCTTTATTACTACAAATTTGTGACCATTAACTTGTACTTGCAAAGATTCAAACACAACAATGACATGGAAAACTGGCTTTCACATCCCATGAGGGAGAGCAACCTGCAATTATTTGCCCTTGTTTCTATATGGATCTCAAGAAAAGTAGGTGATCATACTTTGTTTATCATAAGCTTTCATCATTAGGGTGTAGTTTTGTATTTCTTACTAAATTAATGGGTTACAGATGCATGATTCTTATCCCCTATCTGTAAAATGTTTGAAATCTTTGGGAGACAAGATGATTAAGGAGCAACATTTTACAACTCGTGATTTCTTGGAATCAGTAAGCTAAATTTCTATAACTCCTTTAAAAAAAACTTCATCTCTATATTTTCCATTGTTGTGGTTAATGAAGATATTCTGCAGGAGGTGGTCCTAATGCAGGTAAATCCCATAGAACTATGGTGGATGGTTGCAGTTGTCAGCTTCAACTGAGATGTTTTTCTACTCTTTCTCTTCTTCTTGATAGGTATTGAATTTTGAGATTGGTACATCTAATATTGCTTTGAAATTCCTCGAGGAGCTTTTCATTCAGTTCAAGTGAATTTTTTTTTTTTTTTTTGGGTGTCATCATTATAACATATGTTGGCAATCGTAAGGTTAGAGTTTATATCAGTTTACTGTTTATTCTAATGGGTCCCGAATTTTGTCTTATATGAATTAAGGGGAATTGCAACGGTTGGGAAACTTGTAAACTTTGAAGCATGCGTGGATATCATGGAGATAATGGGGAAGTTTGCCGGTGCAGTTAGAAATTACAATGCACATCTTGTTGCATACCCTGATATTAAATGGCCTCAAATTGCAGAGGAGTTCGTGAAATCTCTTGGATTAAGTTTCAATCCCTATGTGACTCAGGTGTGTTCCATTCACAAGATTTCTTCTCACTTAAGTTTTATTAGGTTTCTCCGTAATTCTTCACAGACCAGAGTAATTTTTAGAAGTTTTATCAACAAGTTCTAAGTTAACAATTAGTAACCACATTTTGATGGATCCTTTTGATATGCTAGCTGTTGGCTCGTAGAGACCTACCATGCACTACACGGCTGCTCTATGTACAAAGCTAGAGAAGTCGGTAGTCTTTATTACCTATTAGTTACTCATTAGTGAACTTTCTTCCGAAATTTTATCCCGCCCTTGCTCCTTATTGTTTTTATCTAACAATTAATTCATCCATATTAAACTGTGATAGAGGGCATCACTTATATGTCTTCCTTGAAAATTTGGAATTCGGTTCATTATCATCTAGCTAATGCTTTCATAGTTTAACCATGTTCTGCAAGTTAGTTGCTACTCCAGATTATCAATGTGATAATTTGAACCACTGTTCTAAAAATCTTTTTAAAAACATAATGATTTTTGAATGAAACTTACAGAGGGCTTATGATGCATATTCATGCATATTTACCTGATCTAATTTAATACAATTTGAACATGTTATGCAGATCGAAACTCATGACTATATGGCAAAACTTTTCCATGCAATTATCCAGTTTAACATCTTAATTGATTTTGATAGGGACATGTGGGGCTACGTATCTTTAGGTTACTTCAAGCAGGTGAACTTTCTGATATATTTGTGAATATGTTGCTACTGGTTTTCCTCTGCCAGAGCATATGTTTTTTCAAGTTCAAATGTCAAGCAGATAACTAAGGCTGGTGAGATTGGGTCCTCGACTATGCCTCATAAAGTAAATGCCATTGATTTTGAAAATAGTGAGGGCAATCTTGGGAAGGCTAATGGAGGTCTATCCCATTTAAGCATAAAATTACCTATTTCTCGTTGGCAGGTAGAACTCTCTCTCTCTCTCTCTCTCTCTGACTTCTTTGCAAAGATATATGAAAGCTCCATTTTGAGTAAACATTGATTGGTAGTTTTTAGGTACCAAAAGTGCAGAATGTAAGATTATGTCATTGGGCAATTATGATTTTCTTTGCAGAATGTAATAGTTTTGGTCATCTAATTTTAGTGGTGATAGAGTGAGACATGCTAGAAAGTATACACAGCCAAATATAGTTTTTTTTTTAATATTATATATTTTATAAAATTTAAAAGCATACTCAGCCAAAGGGGTTTGTTTGGGCACAAATGAAACTGCTGCCTATAGGTAAATGTTACAGTTACTTTTCATTGGTTGGAACTAGGTACATGCATGTTATTTTGTAGATAATAAAAGTAAATGGTGATTTTTGTGGGGCTTAATAAAAGTAAATGGTCATTGGCTAATAAAAGAATGCTGATTAAAGTTTGAAGGATATTTTGTGGGGCTTTTTTCACTCCTGTCCAAGCCATAGAAGAGACTACCATGTTTTTTCACTCCTGTTCATGAACTTCTTTAATTAGCTCATTGCTGAGGTCTTGAAAGTATATAACTCAATGATTTTTTCCTTGTGCTGATTACAGGACAACTTGCTCGGGAAGTTTACGAGAACATTAGGAGAGGCTTCTTGTTTGAGAATTCAGAGAGATTTTTGTATGTATCTTGCTAGGAAAGCTTATAAAGAATTGTGCTCCTCTGCTGTTTCTATTCAGGCTAGCATGCGTGGAATGGTTGCACGTGATGAGCATCGCTTCAGAAGGCAGATTGCTTTTTATGGAAAGCTTTTATTGTTGTATTCTGTTAGACTACTTGACTACATGAATTGTGCATTTGGATGTATTAGTAGGAACTCCAACAATTTCTTTTCACACTAGCTTCTATTCAACTGAGTTCTTTAAAATTACCATACTATAAGCATTTATAATAATGTTTTTCTTTTGCAGAGCAGTTTGAAAACTGTCTCAGAATCTCTAAATGCTTCTTGATGGGTTTAAAATTAGCACAATTTCAAAAACAAAAAAAAGAGAAAAAGGATATCACGGCGTTTTTCAAAATGCCACTTAAACCCTAAATCTAACGATCATATGTTTTTAAAAAGATACGATGGCGTTTTAAAAACGTCGCTAAATATCACAGTGACGTCATGGTACTGTTATGTAGGACATTTTGCAAACGCCGCCTATACTGATATTACGACGTTTTTAAAACGCCACAAAGTTATAGCGACGGCCGCGTCCTCGACGTTTGGTGCTAAGCGTCGCAAAAGGAATTTGCGGCGTTTTTTACACTTATAGCGGCGTTTTTTAAACGCCATTAAAAATCTGTTTTCCAGCAGTGCCATGACATCCTTGTGAAAACAAAACCTTATAAACTTTATGAGGGAGAATTACAATTCAATGTAATAGACCAAAACTAATTACAAAGGGTGAAGGGTGCAACTCTTCATGTGGGTTTCTTGCATAACGAGAGTTGCAACCCCTATGTTTGTGTAATTAATTTGTCTTTTTTTTGAACTAATTAGTTTTAGTCTACTATACTGAATTGTCCACTTTAGGGCAAATCGTTCATATGTACCAAAAATGCTAGAGGCTCCCAATTTCAAGAGAAGTTGTTTGGTTGTCTTGGGATATGCCCAAGTTAGTGGTGCCCAAAGAGTATTGTGTTTTGTGGAAGGGGTATAGGAACAAGAGGCGCATAGGAGAACAAGAGGGGACTCGATATTTGGTGATTGGTTGGGAACAAGAATACGTGGCGCCCTCAAACCACCTAATATTTTTTTCCAATTTTAGACCTTCAATTTCACACAATGATGTAACAATGAAGTTGGACCTATATAACTGAGCGTATAACAAATCAAAAATTAACAATTATTCTATCATATCATTATAGGTCTAATTGAAAAGTTTTTTTTGGGGTTTCAACTTTTATTTATTTATTTATTTTTTCATTTATATCTGAGATTATGCAGGTGGAAGTATATGGCAAAAAACCATTTCAAGGATTCGAAGTGAAGAGAAAACCACAAATTGAAGGTAAAGAACTCACATGCAAACTTTCCATTCTGCATCGTAATTTTACTCATTTTAGCACGACTTATAGAAAACCAATAAGCATATGGAATTCACCACCGGGGGTGATGGCCTAGTGGAGAAGGCATCTCTTTTCGCAGGTGCGACCCAAGTTTGAATCGTAGGAGGGGGGGTGCGAAACGGTTGCTTTGCAGCTGGCTCTTTTTGGAGATCCCGCCCTGTACTCCAACCGAAACTTGGACTTGTCGGTGGTGTGTGGTTGAGCTCCATTAGTGCCTCGGTGGTAGGTCCCTTCCTATAGGTTAGGTCAAATCAAGCCGGCAACCAGTTACCTAGGGCCTAGACCCACGGACATCGTGACATCATGCCCTAGTTCCAAACCCTAATTCCATCAAATTCTTCAATTTTCTTGAATTTAAACACAAACTAATATATACACACACAGAGAGAGAGAGAGAGAGAGAGAGAGAGAGAGAGAAATAGTAATCACATGGCATAGTGATCTATAATGTGGAGGGAAGCACAAAACCTGCGTGTGGTTCTATTTTAAAATTGTGATTTCAATCACTATAAAAAATTAAGGTTTTAGAAATCAAAATTTAGAAATAAAATTATTTTTTAGGGACGAAATATTTTTGTTACGAAAAGTGTCATTATTATATTTTTAGTAACGAAAATTGGACATTAGTAATGAATTATTATCGTTTTGGGACCAAATTTTGTGTCTAAAAAAAAAAAAAACCATTTTGTGACCAAATTATTTTGTCCCTAATGCCCCGTTTGTTTTCAAAGGTAGAAAAGAGGGGATTGATAGTGAGAGGATTAATAGTGAGGGGATTGATAGTGAGGGGATTAAGTAAAATTGTGTTTGTTTTGATGATAGTTGTTAGTGTAGGGATTGTTAAATTATTCTATTAAAATATAAATAAAATATAAATAATAAACAAATTAAAAAAAATACAAAACATAAACATTAATGTTTAAAAAAAAATGGCCAACGTAGTAAAAAATGATTAAAAAAAAAATAAAATTAAAAAATTTTTTCCAGAAAAAAAATAAAACAAATAAAATAACTGATTTTTACTTAACAAAAAAATACAAAAAAAATTAAACATTATGTTCAAAAAAAAATGCAAGACATGTACAAAAATAAAATAAAAAATAAATAAAAATAAAAAATTTCTAATCCGCTAGATTATTTTTCTAATACCAAGTCCTGGAAGCCCATCCGAATCCCCTTGGGGAGGCCCATCCTAATCCGGAGCTCACTATCAATCCCCTCCCCATCTCTCAAAACAAACACAATATTAGTGGGTCCCACCTCACTACCAATCCCAATCCCCCCTCTAACTCTCCAAACAAACGGGACCTAAAAGTGTATTTATTAGTGACATATTTAAAATTTTGTTGCTAAAAGTCTTACTTTTGATTTTTCGGAACGACCTTTTAGCGACTATCCTTACGACGATAGAAATTGGTCCCTAAATACTTTTTGCAACAAAATTTTCACTTTTAGAGATAAAAAAATTTGGTCTCTAAAACTCTTATATGTTGTAGTGAATTAAAACACTTTTCAAAATTTATAACCAAACATACAATTCAAAAACATATCAAACTTAATTTAAAAATTATTTTCAAAACCCAAATCAAACTCTTTTCAAAACTCTATTTGAAAAAAAAAAATCATAATAATATTTTTTTATTTTGTTTTTTAAAATTATTTTTAAGAATCATGATTTGAGTGTGGAATCGTATTTTGAATTATGAGTTTTAAGTTGAATTTTGAAAAGAGAAAATTTGTTTGGTTATGAGTTTTGAGTTATATTTTGAAATTTTTTAGATTTATTTTTAAATTTTTTTTAAAAAAAAATTCCTTCATTTTATTTTTTTAGGGTAAATATTTTATATTGAAATATATATATATATATTTTTGAAGCAGCGAAGAAGGAAAATTTATTGATAATGATCATGCGAAGATACAATGACAATCATCAATAAAGAAAGAGGGGAGGTGGAGAGACAAGTCCAAGTTGGTAAGACACCAACACAAAAAGCAAAAGCATAGGAGAAGGCAAAGGAACAACAACTAGACAGGAACTACAGCAGCAAGTTGGGAGGTTCAGAACCTCAGCCCCGAACTACAGCCTAGTGTCACGTACCGACTCATTAGGGATGCGAGTTCTATACCAAGCACCTTGCAAGCGCATTAGTTTGTGAGCGGCAAGGCAGACAGGGTAGATCCATACCGCATCTCCTAGGTTGGTCCTTGGGCATAATGCACGGGGGTACGCAGTACCACTCGTGGAGCCTGCTTCTCGGGAGGATGACAAGCGCCAAGTCCGTGACAAGTGGTATCAGAGCCAGCCTAGGGGCACTGTGATGGGGACGGTACGTGGGACTTACACCAAGCACCTTCATTGTGGGGTTCGCACCAAGGGTGGTGTCCGCGCGGGGCGGGTTTCCCGTGGGTAGGGGAACGGACAAGCATGGGGGCAGGCAGGGTAATGTCCCCTTGACGAGGGCATCAAGGACTGGCGGTGGTAGCATGTCACGTGCCGACTCATTAGGGATGGGAGTTCTACACCAAGCACCTTGCAAGCGCATTAGTTTGTGAGCGGCAAGTCAGGCAGGGTAGATCCCTATCGCATCTCCTGGGTTGGTCCTTGGGCATAATGCACGGGGGTATGCAGTACCACTCGTGGAGCCGGCTTCTCAGGAGGATGACAAGCGCCAAGTCCGTGACACTGGGACCTCAGCAAATGACAGAAGGAACTTCAGCTCAGTACCTCAGCAACAACAGCCCAGAACCAGCAGCAGAGTAGCAGCAGAGGAGCCTCAGCAGCAGCCCAGGACCAGTGTACTCCCCAAACTGCCTCTGATTTGTCTGAAGTTGAACAAGTAGTCGTGAATTGTGAAATGGCAATCCTTGAATTTGTGATTTAGCCAAAGTGCAACTCTAATCTTAATTAAGTCACACAAGTCCTGCAACTTAGGAGTAATAGATTGGAAAATGCACTCATTCCTAGCCTTCCATAGAGACCAAAAAATTGCCAGAGGAGTAACCTTCCAAAGCATCTTTTCCTTTTTGTTCAGATTATGCCAATCCCACCAATGTAATGCAGCTTCTACAAAACCTGGTAA